TTCCCCATGAACTGCCTTAGAGAAGGGTATAGTTTCTTAAAGAGAAAAGAAGCTATACTTACCTCTTGGACACCGCACATATCTACGAAAGGATTCCCTGTGCCGTGTCGTCATTATAGAGTAAATTAAGAAGGCTTTACCCTGTAACAATATATTTACGAGATGGTAACACATATCTTGGATCATATACGTTTAATATTTCATAAACTAAAGGATATTTGATAAATGAGAATGGAAGTTGAGCACCTATTATAAGATTAAAAACAGTATTAAAACACATTGTTTTACACTTAGTATCTTTTTTTACATACGGGTTTTTGGTTGAATGTAACCAAGTTTTGTTTAAAGTAAGTATAATGTTATGGTGATTATTTAGAACTCCAGTGGCTATAGTGGGGCTATATTCTTTTCCACATACTTCACATACTTTTAATACTATTTTATTTTCAATTCTTTCTCAACGTATATATTGCTATACGGGTGATGATGTACTATTGTTCACTCTAGAAATGCTATTCACAGATATTCTACTAGTACTAGCAATCATATTTTCTGCCTTTTCTTTAATTTCAATATATTCTACATTATTCATTTCTTCTACGCCTTCTATTTCTATATCTTCCATTTCGTCTATTTCATCTACTTCGTCCGAATACTCTATGTCTTCCATGTTTTCCGAGCCTTCTGAGTTTTCTGTGCTATTGAAGAGATCCTTCTTTTCACTAATAGAAGAGTTTGACATATTGGAATCAGGTTATAGTTTTTTTTTTAAAGTTTTATGTTTTGAAAATATGCACTTTGAAAAATATATTTCAAGGATGTTTTTTATTTTTTTCAATCGCCAATTTTTATAATTTTTTTTTTAATTATCGATTATTGCAAGAGTTTAAGTAATATAACGATTAATTATTAGAATTATTAATGCAAGTAGAGTTTAAAGAATTTAGCGATTAATTATTAGGGATCATTGATGGAAGTAAGAGTTTAAGCAGTATAGCGATTAATTATTTAAGATTTGATGCAATATAGCGATTAATTATTATTGCAAATAAGAGTTTAAGCAATAGTAATTAATTATTAGGATCATTAATGCAAGAAAGTTTTCAAGTGATTAATTATTGCAATATAATACTATATACGCACGTGTGTAGATTTTCCAAAATAACTTTGAAGAATATGTTCAGTTATAGCCCAATATTAAAGGTAACTTATCGCAATAGGTTAACTGTAAGAAATATAATGTTAGTTAAGCACACCAATGCAGGTATTGTGCAGAGATAATGAGCTAATCATGTTTAAATTTATTTTATAGAAGGGTGCAATATAATATACGCATGTTGAAAAAGCGTAACTTAATCATTTAAAAACTAAAACTATCTAAACCTAAAACTAAAACAACTATTCTACACTTATAGGCAGACTTTCGTATGATTGGCTGTTTAAATCAATTTAATTTTACATTATTTATACAGTTTAAAGTACTTTTTA